TGGTGTTGAGATAAATATGACCGAGAAAAGCAGCAGTAAACCTACGTCGGGATCGACGGACAGGTTCTTCTCCGGCTTGTCCTTTTCGCTTTTCACACTCGGAGTATCTGCTTTGTTCTCCTTCGCATTCATTTTTGCACCTTAAAAAACGGTATTGAAAATCATTGGCACTTAGCGAAGCTCTAGTTAGTGGCAATCCGAATGTGACGCAGCTGACAACAATTAGATAGATTTTCGGAGCTTAAAAATTAGCTTCTGCTTAGCTTAGCGCCAAATATCTTCTTCCGAGCTCCTCAACTCACTCTCACGAGTAGGCACCTGTTGACGTGAATTGAACGTAGAAAATGAAACCTACTTTATAAGTCCGATTCAAAAAGATTGTTTTCAAATTTAGTGTAAGTAAAATCATCACCTCATTTTCTGATATCGGCAACCAATGCCCTTGAACCTTAGACCTCTAATTAGACCAGTACTTCACCTCAGCTTTAGAAAGGCTCGCACTGTCACTCTCTCGGAAAGTTAAATTTATTACTTTAGCAAAGTACTCATACCTCATACTAAAAGTCATCGTGTGCATCTTTGCTTTTTTCATCTAATCTTTGAAAGCATTGAAGTTTCCTACCTCTCGACGCCTTCTTAAAGGAGGAGGGCGCAGAAACTGTTATCCCAACTATAGAGACCGTCCATGGCAACAGCAATGAACAACCAACATATCACGTCTTTACAATAAAATTGCTCATGTTTACTTACCATTCTGCAGCTGTAATAACGCTTGATAAGTGCTTTTTGACTTTCTTCGGGTAAATGAATTAATTTCGTGACAGACAGAGAAATGCACACATACACGCACAGACAAACTATGCGCCTATTATAAGTTGATTATTAGTCTGCCTGTTTCCTACACTAGCTCGCGTATTCTTGCTCGATTTTGTATCCTTAGAGTATGACCTACAAAAATGCCTGTGTATTTTGTGGGCTTTATCACTGTCGTTAATCCCTGCTTACTTTTTCTGTATCGTAAACTTCGCCTCTTGCCTGAATCTTGCATTGTGTGCCAAAATCCTAGGCGACAAGTATATGAGCCTGCAGTTTTTTGCTATTACCAAATGCAGTGATTACCCAGTCATGTTAACAATACCGCTCTGAATGGTTTAGCTTTTTGGTTCTTTTCTCCAATTGTGAACGATTGTGCGCAGGATTTATTGCTTTTACACTGCAATTATCGTTTCAGTCTAACTGCCTATTGCTAGCCCATATAAGCAACTGCTTGCTTCAATGTTCTTCCATTATAAAACTCTATTTGCTTGCATAGTGCCTGATGATAAATGATAATCTCCTTAACTTATTCCTAACAAACGGGCTGAATCGGCGCATAAAATTACGATATAATGCAAGCAACAACAAACTAGGTATGAAATAGCCCTTTCGATACGTGCGCATGCAAGATTAACCTATCAATTCGGAAATTCGTTTTTGGACGATACATATCCACATACATACATACATACAACCATCACTTATAATG